AAAATAAATATTCAAAACAAAATATATATATAGCAATCAAAAGTTTGAGGATCCAATTTGATATAATCAGCAAATAATAACATTTCTAAACTTTTCACAACTTCCAGAAAGTGTTTTCCTCTCAAATTTTTCAGGAAAACACTTTCCTAAAAATCAAGCCAAATTTTTCTTTGACTGGAAAGTGTTTTTCGTTTACCAACTTTCCTAACAACAAATAAACACAAGAAAGTTTGGAAAGTAATTTTCCAGAAACCACTTTCTGAAAAACAAACACAAGAAAGTTTGGAAAGTGTTTTCCCGGAAACCACTTTCCGGAAAACAAACACAGCTAAAGGAAAATACTTTCCTGAAAACCAAGCCAATTTTTTTTTAACTAAAAAATATTTTTGTTGACCAGAAAGTATTTTCCGTTGATCGGAAAGTGTTTTTCGTTGACTGAAAAGTGTTTTTTGTTGACTGGAAAGTGTTTTTCGTGGACCAACTTTTCTAATGATAAACAAACACAGGAAAATTTGGAATTTTCGGAGAAACAAACATGGCCTTATTCACATTCTTTTTTCTTCGAGCAAGAAATATGTTAACTTAACATCAAGAAGTTTCTTGTAGCAGATTTCTTATTGTAAATTATAACTTGATTCAAAATCTAATCATGGATTAACTTAAAACATTATCATTTCAAGAAAAATTGAAATGTGATCGCTATGAAATCTTTTTTTTAATTGTCAAACATTCAGGTTTTTCAATTTCTCACCAACTTAATTCACCAATTTAATCGGGACAGCCCTTCTACTTGGTTTCACATAAAATTCAGCCCGGTTCAAGTCTTAGGATTGACAGGTCATTGGACCGGATGGCGTTGAATACCACTGGTGCAAAGGGGCTGAAAAATTGTCAATAAAAGCTTTTGGGGTGCCGTTTTAGCTATACTATACGGTGCCGTTTTACCATCTCCTTCCCGACCCTAGAACCCTAACTTCCATACCCTCCCCAGTTTTCACTTCGCATGATGCTTCTAAGAAAAAAACAGTCAGTCTTCTCCCTCCCTCCGTCTATTGAAAAATAGTTTGATCTCTTTATAAATAAATAAATACTAGAGCTAAAAACAGTAAATAATGTTGGCCTTATCGAGAGGCCTCATTTCTCGTCTCCATGGGATACTGTCAGCCAATTCAAGAACACCTCCAACAGCAACAACAAAGTTCTACCTCTTAAGATGTTTCAGCGCTGATGCTCTGATCGATGGGTCCCAGGTTGAGTGCCATCAACAAAGCCGGATCATTGAAGCAAAACCGGGTGTAATGACCCCGAATTCAAAGCGAACCGGAGTGATTGCGGTCAAATGTGGAATGACTGCTCTTTGGGATAAATGGGGTGCTAGGATTCCTATTACTGTCTTATGGGTCGATGATAATATTGTCTCTCAAGTTAAAACTGTTGAAAAAGAAGGCTTCTTTGCTTTGCAGGTACTATCATTTGCGTAAAGTTTCTTTCTTTCTTTTTTATCTTTTTGTTGTTAATTTGGCCTCGCTATTGTGATCCTACTGTGTGTTAGGTTGGTTGCGGGCAGAAGAAAGAGAAGCATTTGACGAAGCCGGAAGTGGGTCATTTTAGAGCTCAAGGTGTCCCCATGAAGAGGAAATTAAGGGAGTTTCCTGTTACTGAAAATGCTCTTCTTCCTGTTGGTACTTGCATTGGTGTTCGACATTTTGTTCCTGGTCAATTTGTTGATGTCGCTGGAATCACTATGGGTAAAGGTTTTCAGGTCTATTTTTATTTCTCCTTTAGTCATCTTCCTTTTGCTTTCATTTTAGCCTATACGTTTTCCCTTTCCTTCTTAGTGTGTTCTTGTTGCACCTGATTAAGCTTGAAAATGAGTTTACTAGAATCAGGAAGTTTGAATGAGATTACCCAACATTTTTCTTTGTAGTAGGGTATCACTTGATTAACATAATTTAACTATCTAACTGTATTGAAAATTTTACAAGGTCGTTGAGGACTTTTCTTACCTTGTTATTTGTGCATTGCTATTATCTCAATGACAGCCAGTTTGCTTTGTTCAATGGCATTATAATGAGTAGTTCATCGGTTTCTTAGGTCCAAAGCTTATGCTTGTGATTATGTCTGCGAAAGCATGTACACGTTGTTACAAGAAAAATCCCTTACAAGTTCCAGGAATTCTCTTGTTTAAAATTCTTGTTAATTCAGAGTGAGAAGAAAAGGTTTAGGATTTATTTGTCTTGGATATTTGTTGTTTTGTTTTCTATATAGGGTGGTATGAAAAGGCATGGATTTAAAGGAGGGCCAGCAAGTCACGGTGCATCCTTATCGCATCGAAGCATTGGTTCTACTGGTCAGAGGGATGCTCCTGGGAAGGTGTGTGTCTCTTTCTTCGGGTGAACTAAAGAGTGATTTGTCTGACCTGTCATTATTTTAGACTCATAAAGCTAGGTAATGGGCCAAGATCCTCTGCTAGGACCTTTGGAAGTGACACTGACATGAATTCTGCATTGAGTTGTGGCTGGAACCTTCCCGCCTGTGGAATATAATATATTGATTCTCACCATGACTATTGTACAATTTTTTTGTCAGCATTTGTTTCTTACTCCTTTAAGAAGATAGAGATCAGTGACATAGCTCAAATCAACTGAGTGGAAATTCTAAACTAGCTGGGTTAGCTACTGAATTCTCTTCCTCCATGCTGTCCTGCCTAAAGCCATGTCCTTTGAGATTGGCTTGGTCAATCTCACTTCCTTATTTTGATGATAAAAGTTACATAATCTGTTCAAGGATATCCCATTATTAAGGTCTCGTTGATTATAGCACCACATATTTTTGTTGTATGTTGCTCCACTTCGTCTGTAGTGGTGATGATCTCTTGTCTCTTCTTGACAGGTATTTAAAGGCAAAAAGATGCCTGGGCGCATGGGTGGAGTTCAGAGAACGGTTAAAAATGTTTGGGTCTACAAAATAGATCCTGCAAGGAACCTGATGTGGGTGAAAGGCCAAGTATGGTTCTCAAACCAAATTTATCGTTTCATTAAAAAAAGAAATGAAATTTGAATAGAAGGTTAAGGAGGTTATACCATGCCTGCTGAAAATATTTGCTTTCTTGTGGTCTAAGTGCAATTTTTTTTGTATCACATGTGTCTTGTATCTAGGATGCCAGTTGAAGTTTTGTTGAAGTAATGGTGAATAATGTTGAAGCATTCTGTAAAGCATGTAAAAGCAAGTTCATGTTTGGTGAAACAAGGATGGAGTCCACTGTCATGGTTTAAGTTTTCTCGTTGTTTAAGATGGGTGTCTAGGATAATTGGGTCTACGTGCAATTGCATTTATGAGTTATTACCCATCCCAATTTTTTTGTTCTGCAATGCTAATCACATCTTCTATAATGGAGCAAAGAAAATTTATGAAACTTCAGCACTGAAAATTAGAAGCATCCAATTCTTTTGGTCCTTGTCTTTATATCTCCCTCTTTTATCTTCCCCTTTTGTCTTGATGGATCTTAGTTGAGTCATATGCTTCCACCGCAATAAACCAAGCTTTCCAATCCTTCGTCTCTCATCTGAAACAATCTTAACAAAGACTTTAATTATTTTCAGGTCCCTGGAGCTGAAGGGAACTTTGTGTTCATAAAAGATTCTGTTTACAAGAAACCTGATATTCAGATGCTTCCATTCCCAACTTACTTTGGTGCAGAAGATGATGATAATGCAGAACCTCTAGTTGCTGATCTTGGAGAAGTGGATCCGTTTATGGTTGCAGATTAGTTGATTGTTACAAAAGCAGGCTTTATTGCCTTGCAGTCACCTTTTCGGCGAAAATGCATACTTATGGTGGACTTACACTCTTAGCAATCAAATGAGGCTATTAAACAGTTTTTTTTGGTCAAAGGACTGGAGGTGAAGGGATTGTAATTTTGTCATTGAGTTCATTTGACATATTGGATTTTGAAATCGGTTGAACACCTTTTTTTCTCTTCCGGTACATGGGAAAGGTTTCCTCAAATAAATATAGGAACTTGTGGATGCCTAGCATGTGACTTAGCATGTGTTGTAAAATTGTTGCTGTCACTGTTCGAAGCTGATGCATTTACAATTATGTTAAACTTGTTGGTTGATTCAATGTTATTATTATGCATATGCTGTATGCGATCATCACTGGTACCTGTTGAAATAGAATGTTGGGGGTAAATATTTTGACCCAAAAAAAGAAGTTAAGAGTAGCTTTTTTCTCGTGTTTATTGCCATCATTTTACCATCAATCTCCACATTAATTTACCTTGATGATGATGATGATGATACATGATTAGATGATGTTATTTATTGGGATTATATTTCTTATTAATATTAAGGTTGTAGATCTGGTGTACAAGACACCAGCTATCAAGTGGTTGATGTAAGCTTAAACGTGCATAAGCACAGCAGGTGGAGTGTTTGTACTTAAATGTGCATAAGCTCAGCAGGAAAGTTTTCTTTTCATCACATACATAAAAGATATCCAGATGATATAAATATTGGAAATTATAAATATTGAAAATTTAAGTTTATTTTTCAAATTTATAATTTATTAAATTCTTGATCTAGATTAGAAATAAAATTAATTAATTCAATTTAATTTTAAAACAAAATTCTCTTAAAAAAAATTAAATTTAACAAAGAAAAAAAAACTAAAAAAAAAAGCGAGACCTAAGAGAATGGTAAAAAATTGAAAAAAATACTTTTTTTTGAAAAACAATTATAGAAATTGTGTCCATGTCAACTTTATAAATAAGAGTTAATCTTTTAAACTTGTAAATTGTTAAATTTTAGACTTGGACTTGACTAAAAAATTGATGAAATTACAAAAAAAAAACAATTGCAAAAGTCATCTAAAAAATAGCAATAAAAAGAATAGGAACCAAAATGATATTTGAAAATATCTATTGGGGAGAAATTAAAAAAAATCTTAAGTGAATAAATTATTCTTAAATAGTTATGTGACTTGTGTTCCTCTACGGATCATATATTTTTATTCTTCATCAGAAATTATCTATGTATGTTTTTTTAATGCATTTTGGTAGCTCAAAATATATAACAAATCAAAAGTTTATGCATACATCTAATCAAATAAACTAAGAATTATGTGCATTAATAAATCAATAAAAAAAATCATTCATAACATCTAAAAATAAAACTTGAAAAATCGAGAGAAAAATATAAATTAAGATATTAAATCTTGAAAAATAAAACATTAAATTGATTAAATCAAATTAAAAAAAATATAATGCTACACATATTAAGAATATCATCTAAAAGTAAATATTTGTTATTTTCAAAAACATGGTTTATCTATATAAATTATAAAAACACAACCATAGATAAACCCAAAAACCACTTTGAAAATTAAACACATAATAAAAAAATTAATTTTAAAAGATGCTATTGAACAAAATAAAAGAGAGGTTCTGTCTTTTTTTTTTTTTTAACTTTTAGATTTTTAACCAGTTACACCACTTTATTTATTTTTAATTGCATTATTTAAAATTATATTTTCATGGCAACCATAGTTATCAAATCTGACATAGGGGTTGACTTAGCCACAAGGCTGGGTCTCAGGTTACACGGGTTGACTCGGGTTAACCAGGAAAAAGAACTAAAAAATTTAAACCAAAAGTTTTATTTCAAAAGATTTCTTTATCCTATATTGAAAAGATAATATCTTATTCTTTTAAGTTAAAGTATTTAAATCAAAACGTTTATTATCCCATATTGAAAAAACATAATATTTTTCTTGTAAACATAGAATATATATAGATTAAAGGGTTTCAAATCTCACATTGCAAAAATAAAACATTTTTCTAGTATTTATATAGTGAACTTTGAAATGAGTTAGTAACTAATTGAAAAATATATATAAAAAATGAGTCTCTGGGTAGAAGAAAAAACATATTTGAAAAAAAAAGGTCTCTATCAGGTTCTTATCAGATCACCCAAGTTCCGGGTTGACTCGGTAAGTCGACCTGTTTACTCTAGGCCAATTGCAGGCCTAGATTTTGAATGAAATAGACCTGGCTAACAGTATTAGATCCTAGTAGCAGAAGGATCCAACTCTACTGAAAACAGGACCCAATAGTTTTTAGCATATTTTTTAACTAAAAAATAGTAAAGACAACGCTCTCATGGTGCTACAGTGTCGTATACAGTGCAAACACTATGTCTACAATGTAGTCTACAATGCAATGAGTCTATGTTCATAGTATATGCATAATGTTTTTCCCATGCTTTTAAAGTATCATATAATAAAAAATTGTAATAAAAAGAATAGCGATGAAATTAAAAAAAAAACACCTTAATTCCATAAAAAAATTTAAATTTTTAAAATTTAAAATTATAATGAAGAGAATACAGATGAAATCTTAAGTATAACAAACAGTAGGGGTTAATTTGAAAATTTTTCAAGGCCATCAAGAAAACCAAGTAGGAGAGCGAGGGAAAAAAAAAACAAAAGGCTATAGGTGCCATTCCAACCTCCATCAAGTTAGACGCGCCACTTATTCATGAAGAGAATGCTAAGATGCTTAACCATCCCAGACCCAAGATAACCCTACTGATTACTAACTTAACCATCCCAGACCCAAGATAACCCTGCTGATTAGTAATTAAAGGTGTATTTTTATCAAGGTTTTATATCATTATTTTGCACTTGAAATATCAATAACTCTTTAACTAAAACATGTTTTATAATAACAAGTTTAATACTATAAGATACCTTTAATTTATGGTAAATATGCATCTTAAATGCAGGACTATCACATAAATAAAAGGATTGATTGATGAGTTTAACTACTGAAATTGATAAGACAAAAAGAGGGTTAAGTTTTGAAAAGAGATACCAGTTCAGTCCAAAGTGGAACACTATTCAATCACTGAGTCATATCTAGAGCTATAGATCTTGAATTTCAATTTGGTTTATATGGCTAGTGATTAGTACTTAAAAGTGCATTTTTATTAAGGTTTTATATCATCATTTTACACTTGAAGTATCAATAAGTCCTTAACTAAAGCATGTTTTATAATATCATGTCTAATACTATAAGATACCTTTAATTTATAGTAAATGTTTATCTTAAATTCAGGTCTATCATATAAATGAAAGGATTAATTGATGAGTTTAACTACTGAAATTGAGAAGACAAAAAGAGGGCTAAACTTAGAAAAGAGATACTAGTTCAGTCCAAACTGGAATACTGTTAAGTCATTGGGTCATAACTAGAGCTATAGAACTTGGATTTAGGTCTGCTATATATGGATGGACAAATAAGATATAGGCGTAAAACTTTCATGGAGTCCAAGATTCAAAAAGGTCATTTTCAAGTCCAATTCTTAGCAATAACGGAAAAGTCAGAATATGTCTTGCAACCCAGATACTATTCAATGTTCAGCCCATATCTCGAGTTTTAGAAGTTCAAATGACCTTGATTTTTTTTTTTAGAAAGTTGAGACAATTTCCTAGAACTTTCATGTTCAAGTCTGTCCAAATTCTGATGTTAGCAATGACATTTTGTTCAAACAAGAAGATAAGGATTGTCACCAAGTCAAGATGTGGCTACCCACTCAATAGTTAGTTAACAAATCAATAGTTTCTAATTTCGGCCTATATAAGGAGGCATTTGCCATGCATTTAGGCATCTTGGTTTTCAGACCAAGATCATGTTGTTGCTCTCTTTCTTTATATTTTTGTAATACTTAAGTTTTGCTTTCATTAATCTCTTGTTCATGTTGTTCATTTTCTTTCCTTTACTTAATTAACTTTTATCTTATTTATATTCTTATCTTATTTATTTATGTTTCTCTTCTTCATTATGCTTAGTTAAGTTTATTATGTCAAGGTGAAAAAGTTACACTAATGGTGTAAGAATAAGTATAGTATAAACTCAACATGAACTTTAATGTTTGATATTAACATGTTTTGTATTTGTTATCTTATTCACTTTTAATACTTCGCTTCTTAAATGGTTAGTAAGTATTAGCATTATTCGAATAAGATAATTAATGTAATCATGTTAACAATTTATAATCCGATTGGAATCTCTTTTATGTGTGATTTCCAATTGAGTAATAAAAAGAGTTTATACTATACTTGTTTGAAATACCATTAGTGAACCCTCTAACCTTAACATTTGTTTTTATCATTGTTTAATCCTCACATTAATCTTACAATCTCAAAATCCTCTTTAACTTCTTGTTGTTGTTGTTGTTGTTTATAATTTATATAGTTAACCTCCATGTGGTTCGACTCTAGTCTTATTGAGTTACTTATTACTTCGACACTCATGTTCTTAGAAGAAGACATCAATCTTTTGGTAGTGTCAAATTTTTTGCGCCGTTGCCGATGAGGTAAGTTATTGTATAAACTATATATTTTTTATTTTATTTTTCTTTTCACTTTTATTGTTTTTCTATTTTTTTCTTTGTTTCTTCCTTTTCTTTTTCTTTCCTTCTTCACTTGCATGAGAGTTTGGACACGCACATTAAGTAGTAGACTTTGTAAGGTATCCTCATCATTTTAAAAAAATATGGTCATAAAAGATAACTAGTCATTTTATAATGAGAATAACTATGTTAGAATATTTAGAGACCACATGAATCCCACAAGAACAAGTGCACCCTTATATATAGTTTTCCCCTCATGATACATCTTATTTTAATTTTAAACTAGGCATTATTTAATTTTTACTTTCTTTTCATGGCTTAGATATAGAAAATCCATACTTGCATTTAAGAGAATTTGAAGAAGTTTGTAACACTTATAATAACTTAAATTTTAGCATGAACACTATTAGATTAAAGCTTTTTCCATTTTCATTGAAAGATAAAGTTAAAACATGACTACAAAATCTTAGGTCAGGATCCATTCATGCTTGGAATGAAATGCAATAATAATTTTTAAAGAAGTTTTTCCCTTCTCATAAAACAAAATCTTTTAAAAAACAAATCACCACTTTCACTAAAAAACCAGGAGAAATATTTTACCAATATTGGGATAGGTATCGAGACTTGCTTAATACTTATCCTCATCATGATTTTGAAATATGATTTTTATGAAGGGTTAACAATTAAAGATAAGCAAATTATTGAATTGATATGCAATGAAACTTTTAAAGAT